CACAGCTGAGAAGCACTATGTGAGAATGCAGCTTAGGTGTTGCTCAAATTCTGCCCTGGGTTCTCTTAGGCTCATCAGTCTGTTCCTCTGGAGGGCAGAGGGGAAGTGGATTGAGGAGCCACCTCCCCCAGGCAGTCAGCTTTGTCTCCTCAGGTTGCCTGAGGTTCTCTTTTTCAGAGATCCTGCTGCCCAGCACATGAGCCTCCCAGTCCTGGGGCCTCACAATAAACTCTCCGTTCTGCCCAAGCCTAGTGTGAACTGTGCTTCTCTCACGTGCAGCTAAGTCCTGACTAAGGTGGTCATAGTACTGAATGTTTGTGCAGGTGAAACTACATATTTTGAACCTAAATCTTAGCACAAGCACAGACTTAGGTTCTGTGCTTCTTGAAGTCAAAAAGAATCTTAAAAAAGCTACCTATGTTAAAATGAACTTCAAATTACAGTAACACATTATCTACAAATATTTTACCGAGCTCTTAAGAGCACCTCTCCTAGGATTTGTGGAATTAGAAATTTATGTTCCTGAGTCTTCGCACATTGTTTTACATAAACAGACAATTCCTGCTATAGTCTCATCGATACATTTGGAAGCCTGGCACCAAAGAATGAGAGAAAGCATGCTAAGTAATACCTAGAGAAATGATGGAGACATCTGGCATTGTGGGAAGAGACGCAGCGTGTGCGTGGGCTCAGTGGTGTGCGTGGTGTTTTTCAGCAGTGCAGGCAGTGGCCGCTCAGACAGGGAGCGGCAGCATGTCGCTGTGGCTGAGACAGCGTCCGTGTATGCAACAAGGAATGATGTTGTATTCGTTTGCTTGGGGAACATTGACAGAAGACCACACAATGGATGGCTCACACAATAGAAATGCATTTCCTCACAAATCTGGAAACTGAAGGTCCAAGAACAAGGTTCCCTCAGGTTTTATGTCTTTTGAGGCCTCTCTCTTCAGCTTGCAGATGGCCACCTTCTCACTGTGTCCTCCCACGGGCTTTCCTCTGTGCATGCGCAGGTCTGTGTCCAACCAAATTTCCTCCTCTTATAAAGACACCAGTCATATTGGATTAGGGCTCACCCATGTGACTTTATTTTACCTTAATTACCTTCAGGGACCTGATCTCCAAATACAGTCATATTCAGAGGTACTGAGGATTAGGACTTCAACATATAAATTTTGGGGGAAAGCAGTTAGCCTATAACATATATGGAAACATACTCATATTCATTTTCTTTTTTAGAAAACTACAAGAATTGTTGGGCCCTGGCTAGCGTGCTAAGTGGTTAGAGCACCTGCCCCGCACACTGAAGAGTCACATCTACCTGGGCTGCAGGTTTGATCCCCGGCCCTGGTAGGGGTGTGTGCAGGAGCCAACCAATCAATGTGTCTCACTCACATTGATGTTTCTCTCTCTTTCTCTCTAAAAATCAATGGAAAGAATATCCTCAGGTGAGGATTAACAACAACAACAACAACAAGTAAATTAAAATAAACAAAAAAAAAAGGAAATGTTGGCTAATCTGGCAAAAAATAAAAGAAAGCTACAAAATGGTCTGATGGGAGAGACAAATGGATCTTACCTAGGAAGGGGGAGGTGGAGAGGGACTGGAGAAAGGAGCTTGTGGTGACACTAAAATAGTAAGCCAGACCGGCCAGTGTGGCTCAGTGGTTGAGCATCGACCTATGAACCAGGAGGCCACAGTTTGATTCCTGGTCAGGGCACATGCCTGGATTTTGGGCTTGATCCTCAGTAGGGGGCACGCAGGAGGCAGCCAATCAATGATTCTCTCTTATCATTGATGTTTCTCTCTCTCAGAATAAGGAAATATGAGAGGACTGAGGGTTATATTCACTAACAATTAAGAACCTTCCAGTTCTAAATACTTAAGCCTACTGGAAAGTCTGTTGTCTAATAGAGAATATTCTGTTTAACTCCCATGCAATGAGATGTACTGTACATTTCCTCTGAACCTGGCCCTGTGATTTCTTAAAGCAGACCCTGTGTTCTGAAGTTAGGCAGTCACTCTGCCACTGTGATAACATCTCTACATTTTGGTCTCTTCATCAGTAAACTGAGGGATACAATATATTCTTCTTGGGGAACCATGAGAATGAAGTGAGATGTTGCTCAGGGGAATGACTATACCAGTTTCGGGGTTGGTATGTGCTCAGTACTCATTAGAATCCTGCCCTCTCCCCAAAAGATAGAAGCGGAAAGCTGCATTTATTCCTGTTCATGGACTAAGACAGTGGGGGCAGTGAGTATATGCTTTTCACATTTTCATACCCAGTAGAGAACGCCAACACATCCCAAGACGGATGAAGCCAATAAACAGAAAACACAGTCACACGGTTGAGTTCTCTCCCTCTTTCTTATGTTTCTTCTGTTCTAAGAGGGCAGAGGAGGCTCCAGAGAATAAAATCATCATTGAGCCCATCCCCCAGCATCAGTCCCATTTCTCCTGAGAATCCTTCAGATTCTACAGTATCATGCTTTCCTCCCTGTCACAAACCTAACCATAGCCCGTCACTCTAAGGTGCTCAAAGTCTCTTCCATTCCTTCTGAGGGTGCCAGAATTCTTGACCGAAGCTGTTCAACCCAATAAAGGTGAGGCTTTCACATGGGCAGAGCTGACATTTATTCAATGAACAGATGCTGAGTGCCTGCCAGGGCCAGACTCTGCTAGTTATTGGGACACACAGAACATGTGATCAGTCAATATGACATTGCATGATGTCACCTCACCTGCTCGTGTCACCCAGACATCACCACATGTGATCAGTCAATATGACATTGCATGATGTCACCTGCTCGTGTCACCCTGACATCACTGGATAAGTGACAATTTGCACAATGTTTCATTAAATACCTACTAAGAAAATAACCACAATGGATGACATAAAAAAAAGCCAGATCCAGAACGAAAGAATTGCAGAGCATGCAGAACGAGGCCCAATGTGGCCGGAGCTGGCTGGACAGCCACACTGCGATGCTCAGACAGCTGGAGGCAATTTTACTAGGACCTAAAACTTCATTTCCAACGCCCACACTTATGTTTCCATTCCTAAACAAAGAGTGAGCTAAACAAATAAATGATGAAATATTAACCATGGACCCAAATATTTCAAGGCATGGATGGGGGAAAAAAACCTAACATCTTTATCAACTGCAAATGCAAAGAGAAAACTCTAGTAGACAAGTGAAGATGAAAGTTTTTTTGAGCATAGCATAAACATGTACAAAACTCTTAACAGCACTGGTATCAACGAATGCTTCTGTTGTTGAAAAAATCATCTTCAAAAAAGCGGTGAGAAAGAGACTGACAAACAGAACATAGCTATTTTTTCATCTCCAAAATGGCACTTCCTGGTCCCCGGTGCTTAGCACTGCAGATGTTGCAGAACTGTGCTGGAGAGGTCTAAAATGTGATAAAAAAACACAGATTAAAATATATATATATCTTTCTACTTTCATATTCAGAAGTATTATGGGAGAGTCAGTCAGGGGGCAGCGGGACACTATGAAATGCCACTCCCTTTTCCTGTATATTATTGCTGGTTCACATAGGATTCCGTCTAGAACAGCAAAACAAGTGTAATCTGACAGAGGAATATGACTTGACACTAAGAAAAGCAGTGTCATGGTACTGAAATCAGGTTGAGAAAGTTGTACAAGACATAAAATGGTTCTCACTGTATCTCACGTGTCCATAGCTCTATAGCTCAACAGTCATCAGTTTTACCTGAACAAATTCACTTAACTGAATATGATTTTATAATGTTCGGTATAGTATTCTAAACATTTTTACATTTGAGAATTAGATGAATTAATTTTTCTTATGTGATATAAAACTATACTGTAACTTTGAGAACGCACAGAGCCATACAATGACAGGCTAGAATGTTGAGCACATCCCTCTGACTGCATCCCTTTCTTTTTAGCTGATGGTGGCCTAGCTGCCCACTCACCATGCTGGGCACAGGCAGGCACTCCTTGTGGAACATATGCCGGCAATGGAAGACCACCATACTGAAGGGCTTGGCTGCATCTGGGGGTAGAGGACAGGAAAGGAGAAGGACTCAATGCAACAAGCAGGTCAGAGGCTTTAAAACCAGTCTTCTTCTTTTTGCTCTACCCTACAATCCCCCTTCCCTGTGGCAACCATCAGCTTTTTCTCTCTGTATATGTATAGATCTTTCTGTTTTGTTCATTCATCTGTTTGTGTGTGTGGTTTTTAAGACTCCACATATAAGTGAAATCATATGGCATTTTTCTTTCTTTCTGATTTACTTCATTTAGCATAATACCCTCCAATTATCCATGTTGTAACAAATGGAAAGATTTCATTACTTTTTATGGCTGAGTCATATTGCATTATATATATATCTATATCTATTCATCTATTGATGGACATGTAGCTTCCATATCTTGGCTATTGTCAATAATGCTGCAATGAACATAGGGGTGCATATATCTTTTTGAATTAATGTTTTTGTTTTGGTTTTTTTTTTTCAGATCAATACAGAGAAGTGGAATTACTGGGTCATTTGGCAGCTCTATTTTTAATGTTTTTGAGGAATCTCCATTCTTTTTCCATAGTGGCTGCACCAATTTATAATCCCAAAAGTGCACAAGGGTTCTCTTTTCTCCACATCTTCGCCAACACTTGTTACTTGTTGATTATTTAAAGATAGCCATCCTGACATATGTGAGATGATATCCCATTGTGGTTTTAATTTACATCTCCCTGATAATTAGTGGTTTTCAGTATCTTTTCATATTTCTGTTGGCCATCTGTATGTCTTCTTGGGAGAAATGTCTATTCAGGTCTCTTGCCCATTTAAAAAATGTTTGTTTTTTAAAAAAATATATTTTATTGATTTTTTACAGAGAGGAAGGGAGAGGGATAAAGAGTTAGAAACATCGATGAGAAACATTGATTAGCTGCCTCCTGTACCCCCCCTACTGGGGATGTGCCTGCCACCAAGGTACATGCCCTTGACTGGAATTGAACCTGGGACCCTTCAGTCCCCAGGCTGATGCTCTATCCACTGAGCCAAACTGGTCAGGGCTAAAAAAATGTTTTTATTGCTATTTTAGATAGAGACAAAGGGAGGAGAGAGAAATATCAATATGAGAGAAACACTGATCAGTTACCTCTCGTATGCACCCCGAATGGGGATCGAACCTGCAAGGTGGGCATGTGCCCTGACCGGGAATTGAACCAGTGACCTTTTGGTGCATGGAAAGATGCTCAACCAACTGAGCCACACTGGCCAGGACCTCTGCCCATTTTTTAATCAGATTGTTTGGTTTTCTTAGTGTTAAGTTGTATGATTTCCTTATATATTTTAGATATGAACCCTTTATTGGATGTATCATTTGCGAATATCTTCTCCAATTCAGTAGGCTGTCTGTCTTTTTATTTTGTTGGAGTTTCCTTCACTGTGCAAAAAATTTTCAGTTTGATATAGTCTCATTTGTTAATATTTTCTTTTGTTGCTCTTGCTGGAGGAGACACATCCCACAAGATATTGCTAAGAGTGATGTTAAAGAGTTTGCTACCTATGTTTTCTTCTAGGAGTTTTAAGGTATCAGCACTTTTAAGTCTTTAATTCACATGGAGTTTATTTTTATACTAGAAGCCTGGTGCACGAATTCGTGCATGGGTGGGTCCAGCTGACCCACCCCAATCGTGGCCAATTGGGCTGGGCTGGACAGGGGGAGGGGACACGGGTGGTTGGCTGGCAGGCCCTGACCCCTGGTTGAACTCCTGGTTGAACTCCCTGTTGAGGAGACAATTTGCATATTAGCCTTTTATTATATAGGATATGGTCCAATTTCATTTTTTTGCTTGTTAGTTTCCCCAACCACCACTTATTCAAGAGACTGTCTTTACCCCATTGTATATTTTTGCTTCCTTTGTCATAGGCTAATTGACCATATAAGCAAGAGTTTATTTCTGGGATTTCTATTTTATTCCACTGATCTACATATCTGTTCTTATGCCAATACCACACTTTTTTGATTATTATAGCTTTGTAGTATAGAATGGGTCAGAAGAAAAACAATTTAAAGGAAAGGGAAAGCTACCTATAAGAAAATGTCCCACATACACACATGGTTCTTCAACTTTGGAACTTAAACACCTGATGGTAAGTCTTCATTTTATTTTGTTTTATTCTAGAACAGTGCTTCTCAAAGTATGGTTCCTGAACCAGTAGCACCAACATCACCTGGGAGCTTGTTAGAAATGCAAATTATTAGGTCATACCCTGGAATTACTGAATCAGAACCTCAGTGGGTAAGACCCGCATGGTGGTTTTACAAGCCTGTCAGGTGAGGCCAATTTACTCCACAATTTGAGAATGGCACCATCAGCATGCAAGTGAGTAGAGTTGTGGGCTGAAAATCTTCTCTAAACTTGATGATCCTGAAAGCTATATAATTTTATAAAAATTCCACTCATTATGAACACATATTTGGGGATTTCCTTTCCCCCCTAAAAATCTCACCTGATGGAAGAATAGGGGACAGGCACGATTCACAGATGTTCTCCTCTGCAAGGAAGCACACACACACGTGAGGTTACACAATGTTTCTTGCTCTGTCTCTTCCCCGAGGGAGGCATACAGTTCCACTATGATCACTTCATTTTACCCACCATCGACCAGAATGCCTTTCATTTGAGTTCGATGCATTTTCTTCAGTAAAGACAGAGAGTCCGCCACGAGAATCTTCTTGCAGCCTTCACGAAGCAGAATCTAAGGCGCACATTATAAAAGAAATGGCATCTTAAAAAGACTCTACAGTTGGGGGATAGGGGGCTCTTAGTGGAGATTCAGAAAATCAGTTTCTTTAAAATACTTCAAAGAGGCACCCACTGGCTCCTGCTCAGTACCCTCTTCCCTCCAGGCCACTGCCAGACCCACCTTTCCAGCCTCCACTCAGTCATGACGGCAATTTTTCTTATGAACCTACAGTGGTGCCTTTAGAGCTCGTGAAAGGAAATACCAAGCCAAAGTCTGGCGCAGAAGGCCCTCTATTAACTACCCCTACTGTTGTCTTATAGGTCTTCCCAAAACAGACTCTCTCTGGCAGAGTTTGGCCCCTACGTGACTTGGTCATTCCAAGCCCCAGGTCTTTGCCCAGGATGGAAAACCTGCTATTCCAAAATAATTTATCTCATAAATCCACCTACTTACTGCATAAATATTTTACTGTACTGAGTCTCTACTATATATTAGGCAGAAGAAATGGAGCAATAAATTAAACAGATGTGATCTCTGTCCTTAAACCCCCTTCAGGGTGCAAACCATTTAGCAATTAATGTGATGTGTAAGTGTAATTGATTATATTAATCCTCAAATTTGGTGATTCTGAAAGGGCTGGCAACTGAAAACCAACCAATATATTAAATATTCTGTCACAAGACTCACTTTCTCCCCTTCTTCCCAGTGCTGTACTCTTTGCTTATGCATTTTTCCTGTTAGTCACAGGCTTACTTATTTCCCCTCTCTCTGCCTGGAGAATTACAGAGCTAAGCCTTCAGCAGCCTCCGAAGTGAGGATGCAGGCAGCAGAGGTCAAATGCCCGTTCTGATTGACAGTGACTTTGTTTCAGAGCTGGGAAGACAAAACTGCCCACCTGCTTTTAAGCAGGTAAGAGGCAACCTACCTTACCTTTCAAACCCATTCTGCTGGACAGAGTGTGAGTTTCCACCCTTTCCTGAGTTTTCTTAGGTATTTTATCAGAAATTAAGAGAGGCTGTGTGAAGTGTTCTCAAGCCAGATGACACTTTTACAAAAACTCGCTGCTTTTCGAAGAGGGAGACACTCAAGGCCAGAAGGGCAGAGAGTCTGGTGCAGTGCCTGTGGCTTCCCAATGTGTAGCCTGTTGCTGTAGTGTCTTGCCATCCTTCCTGAGGGTTACTTGAGGAGAAAGTGTGTAGGCCTTTAATGGAGACTGTATTCCTGATTCTTCTGTGATTTTCTTCTTACCAAATCCTGGTACTTTACAAGTCCTGCCCCGCTGGCCACCTTCTAATTAATTTCCTTTCACTGTGCACAAATCCGTGCACCGGGTCACTAGCATAGGTATAAGAAGCCCATAATCTAGAAGCTGTGTCTGCTACTCCAGAGGGCTACCATAGCAACAACATCCCCTTTCTACTTTGGGTTTGCTCTCAGTGTTTCCTGGCACCTGTTCATATCTGTTGGGATCAGCTATGAAATGGAAATAAATTATCTTTTAATATCCTAGTTAGCATTCTTTTTTAACAATAAAGGAGTATTCAATTTAGTCTATCATGTATCCAAAAAGCTAAAGCTTCTCTGGTTTAGAAAAATTAATTTCTAGTTTATATACTGTTGAACATGTTAAGCAAAGCAAATACCTATCAACATAGATTACATCTATTACTCTTTTAAATCTATTATACTTGAATTCTTAAAATCTTAGTCTTTATCATTGACCTTGACATTTGGTCAAATGAACTTTTATTTCTTATTGACTTTAGATGTTAAAAATTTAATTAGGTCTACAAGGACTTTCTTTTTTTATGGTTATGTTGGCTGTTTCCCCATATCTTCTCAGACTTTACAGAATTTGCAAATACATTTTGTGACATTTTTCATAGTATTTATAGGCTACATAAGTTAAGCTGAGAAGAAGTTTTAAAGACCTATCATCTCTCTCCCCCAAAGGTAGTCTTTGTTTTCCAAAGGATGCCTACTGGCCTTTCAAAGATCAAGTCATTCTCTGCTCAGAAAAATCTTCCTTGCCTATTTCCTCCTGTTTTATCTTGGTTTCCTATTTTATCTTCTGTGTAGGGTAGCCTCTGATATTACTTTCAGAAATTAAAATCAGTTTGGAACTCCTTTACTGTGTCATCTAAAAAATGTCTCCACTTGGTCAATACGACAACATCATTATTAATCTCTGCTTTGTAATCTATATCTCATATTAGAGTTTCACCAAGCCAAGTAAACCACTGTCTAATCTTTTCTTTCCTCAACTTCATAATGGCATCAGTTCCCATCTCAAAAAACATTTGTAGGCGTTGTTTACGAAGTACAATAATATCTTTCAGACATTAATTTTCCTTATAGGACTTTCCATCATTTTTTCAAGGTTATTCAAATCAATGGGCCAACTGCTTTCCACATCCTTCTCTACTGCTTGTTTTCTTAATTTTACATGTCCCTCCATAATTCTAAGTTTTTCTAAATTCTATGTTTTATTTAACACTAGAGGCCCGGTGCACAAAAATTTGTGCACT